TACTGGAATGGCAAGTAAATGACCAGCACTTCTAACAGTTTGAGGATAGGATATCGCACAAAGTTCTAGTGTGTTGTGGACATGCATAATGACTGTGACAGTTACTGGTGGCCAGGCGTTACTTGTGGAACTGAGCTTCACTGTAGTTTTGACCACCCCTTGTACATAGCAGGTAAGTGGGAGAGAATGATTAAGAGTCTGGTAGCTGTTCATCTCCTAAGGTTTCAGGCAGGAGCTAAGGTTAAAGGGCAGGAACGGACATCGCCACATGTGCTAGACAGAATGAGTTGGTGTAAGTTGGCTGGGAGGAAAGGTGTGTGTTACAGGCAAGCAATGGTATGAGAAAGCTGGGGTGATAAGAGAACACGAGGAGGGTACAGAGAATGACTACCAAGAGGGCTGACTTTTTAAACGTTACCCAAATTTGTACCCATTCTCTCTCTGGTATCACCTACCCTTCCTCCTGCGCACGTTCCTAATTGCGCTGCTAGCTTCAGACCGAGATGCTTACCTTCAGTTTATTCTAGAAGGCTTTTCAATGGATGTAAACAATGGGCATGAAACGGTGTAGGGAATTGTAGGGCTCTGAGCCTCTTTCCCTCATTCCTCCCGTAGAAGTGCTTATATGTCATTTCCCTACCCGGTGGCGTTTCCATTGTCGAGCTTTTCCTTCTTCACGTGTGTCTATATTAATGCTCACTGTGATCTTGATGGTAATGGTGACATGATAAGGACGTCATAAATTCTATTGAGGGCCTTTTTCACGGGCCAGCTGCTATGCTAAGTATCTACTTATTTTCTCAGTTAAATCCGACAGTAACTCAGTGTTAGGAACTGTTACTATGCCTATCATATTAATGAAGCTATTTAGTCTCAAAGAGGCTAAGTTCCTGTATTGAGGTTAATACCAAGGCTGTGAATTACAATTCAAATCTTGTGGCTTGCGATCTTAAACTACTACTGAAATGACAAAAGGCTGTAAGTTTGGCTTCTAAAGAAGGGCATGTAGCGTAAGTTAGGCATTCCTAATGAAATGTCAGGTCCGTGGTCTCTGTTCTTGTGCATTTAATCTTTGGTTCATTTTGATGCAGGTATATGATGTTTGTCTCTAGGATATTTTGGCTGGCTTTGGTTGGAATATCCCCTTTGTCTTCACTTAATGCTTGTTTGAGGTCTTTAAGCTTAATGATACAGAGCTAGAGAAGACATAATAATATTTATTTTGTGATTTCTAGAACTAATTAATCATTTCTTTTGTAACTAGCCTATGATATTTTTAAGAACAGTATGGTTAATGAGAGCACACCGAAGTATTTTGGGTATTTATGTGTGTTTTGTTCCCTTAAGTTCTACAGTCTTCTGCAGATTCCAGACCAAAGTTGAAAATGGCTCATCTTACCCAGCTGATGGACAATGAAGTTCTTATGGCTTTTGCCTCCTATACAACAATTGTTCTTGTAAAAATGATGTTTATGAGTAGTGCAACTGCGTTCTTTAGATTAACAAAGAAGGTAAGCAGACTCTTAAGTGTTGAAATTCTGGCACTGATCTCCTTGTCTGTCTCTCTCTGTCTCTGTCTTTCTCTCTCTTTTTTTAATTTTAATTTTAATTTTTTTCCTTGAATTTTTTATTGGTACATTTTATATGTACATAATGATAGCATTCATCATAGGGGAATTGTACCTTGCTTCAAACAATAGTTTCAAGCATTTTTTAAAAAAGATTTAAAATTTCTGAATTTAGTTCAGCTTATAATACGACATTTCCAAGAAAAATGAACCTTTTGCAAAGACATTTAAATAAAATCATACCAAGATGCACAAAAATGAAATTGTCCAAAACTTCCTGTGAAGAAAAAAATCATTAAAACATATACATAAAAATATTAGCTATGGAAGAACAAAATTAAATAGCATCTTATTCCACATTAGAAAGAAAAAAAAGGACCAA